TGGGTTCATAAATTAAGCACAAGGCAGTTGGTTGCTTTTTGGCATGATGCAGTATGTTAGTGGTCCTCAGCCTTTATGGCTTGGCAGCCCAGCGGGGGAGGAGAGGGAACCAGTCTGTGCAAGCAGTGGGCTGGTGTGTGCAAGTCAAGCTGCTTGTGTACATTGACCCGCTGCTTGTGCAAGTCAAGCTCCACATAGCCAGGTTCCAAATTGGGCCATGGCCTGGTAGTGGGCTGTTACTTGGGGATTGGGGGCCCTGCAGTATGTGAGCCCAGGTCTTATTATTTATAAATATTATTTATAGCTTTGTATATTGTTCAAAGCTGCCACTTGTGGCTTAATTAGCAGATCATACTTAGAAAATATGAGTTAATAGAATGTATAAGTACTTACTGAATTCTACCTAAATTACATGCAGTGTGAATTGATGTTTCAATAAGCCTTAGTGAAAGAAAAGGTCTGTTTATAAATGTCGATGAAGAAATGTCTAGAATTGAGTCCTAGCAACTGGACTTATTTTTGTCAGTTTGAGATGTTACTGTTTATAAACCTTGATCAATATGCAGCATATTGCAGGTCAGATGAGGGTACTGAAAATTTCAAGTAGAGCTCTGCTTTATATGTGACAAGAATGAGAATGAATATATATTTTCAGTATACTCCAAGATCAGAACAATCAAATTCTTTAGTCACTAGAATTTTTGGCATATTAACTATAGTAGATAAGAAGATTAATATCAGATTATTAAAAACTAATCATAAAAATTGTGCTAGAATATATTCCAAAAATAAAGGTATTACCAAGAACTGAGCAGTATAGTTGACAAGTATTATCAAAGCAATCATTAATGGCGAAGTTGTGGGGAGGGGAGTAATCAGAAAATTAACCAGAGGCTATTTACAAAAAGACATGTAGCGCCCAGTTTTCCTACTTAAAGTTGCTAATTAATTAAAACCAATCCTGGAGTTTTCCCCCCCAAATAAATGTGACATCATTATATAGATGCATATATTTTCAGACACATGTACACACTAGCCAGAGGGTTATTGCAAAACAAACACTCAAATTGAAGGATGTAAAGAAATCAGCCCATTTATACAATTAGTTGGAGTCTTATCTTTATGTGTAACATGCCTTTTTTTCATACATACAACTGTATTTTTATTCTCTCATGAGTAAAAACAAAAAAGGGATGAAGTAAGATTAGAGGAGTTGTATATTAGGAATGGGGTAAAGAAAGAAGCAAAACAATATAAAATTCAATGTTTTGCTGGGTTCAGTGGTCACGACCCCATATACAGGTGAAACTCGAAAAATTAGAATATCATGCAAAAGTTCATTTATTTCAGTAATGCAACTTAAAAGGTGAAACTAATATATGAGATAGACTCATTACATGCAAAGCAAGATAGTTCAAGCCGTGTTTTGTCATAATTGAGATGATTATGGCTTACAGCTCATGAAAATCCCAAATCCACAATCTCAGAAAATTAGAATATTACATGCAATCAATAAAATAAGGATTGTACATCGAACAATATCGGACCTCTGAAAAGTATAAGCATGCGTATGTACTCAGTACTTGGTTTGGGCCCCTTTTGCAGCAGTGTCTGCCTCAATGCAACATGGCATGGAAGCTATCAGCCTGTGGCACTGCTGAGGTGTTATGGAAGACCAGGATGCTTCAATAGCGGCCTTCAGCTCTTCTGCATTGTTCGGTCTCATGTCTCTCATCTTTCTCTTGGCAATGCCCCATAAATTCTCTATGGGGTACAGGTCAGGCAAGTTTGCTGGCCAATCAAGCACTGTAATCCCACGGTCATTGAACCAGGTTTTGGTGCTTTTGGCAGTGTGGGCAGGTGCCAAGTCCTGCTGGAAAATGAAGTCAGCATCCCCATAAAGCTTGTCTGCGGAAGGAAGCATGAAGTGCTCCAAAATCTCCTGGTAGACGGCTGCGTTTTCCCTGGACTTAATGAAGCACGGTGGACCAACACCAGCAGATGACGCAGCTCCCCAAATCAACACAGACTGTGGAAACTTCACACTGGACTTCAAGCATCTTGCAGTGTGTGCCTCTCCATTCTTCCTCCAGACTCTGGGTCCTTGGTTTCCAAATGAGATGCAAAAGTTGCTCTCATCAGAAAAGAGGACTTTGGACCACTGAGCAACAGACCAGTTCTGTTTTTCTTTAGCCCAGGTAAGACGCTTCTGACGTTTTTGTTGTTGTTCAGGAGTGGCTTGACAAGAGGAATACAACATTTGAAGCCCATGTCCAGGATCCGTCTGTGTGCGGTGGCTCTTGATGCACTGACTCCAGCCCAGTCCGCTCCTTGTGAAAGTCCCCAACACTTTTGAATGGCCTTTTCCTGACAATCCTCTCCAGGCTGCAGTCATCCCTGCTGCTTGTGCATGTTTTTCTTCCACACATTTCCCTTCCACATAACTTTCTATTAATGTGCTTTGATACAGCACTTTGGGAACATCCAACTTCTTTTGCAATTACCTTTTGAGGTTTTCCCTCCTTATGGAGGGTGTCAATGATGATTTTCTGCACAACTGTCAGGTCAGCAGTCTTTCCCATGATTGTGCTTCCTACTGAACCAGACTGAGAGACCATTTAAAGGCTCAGGAACCCTTGGCAGGTGTTATATGATTAAAGTGGGACACTTTGAGCCTAGGACATTGAACCTTTTCACAATGTTCTAATTTTCTGAGATTGTGGATTTGGGGTTTTCATGAGCTGTAAGCCATAATCATCTCAATTATGTCACATCACAGCTTGAACTATCTTGCTTTACATGTAATGAGTCTATCTCATATATTAGGTTCACCTTTTAAGTTGTATTACTGAAATAAATGAACTTTTGCACGATATTCTAATTTTTCGAGTTTCACCTGTATGTTTACTGTAATAAGTTCCATTGTGTTATTTCTAAGTAAATTTTGTTAAGTAATCTTGTTTAATCAATATGAAATCCTACAATAATAAATTATTTGGGGGGGGGGAGGGAATTGGATAACTTTCTATCCTTCTCTGTAACGGTTGAATGTCTAGTGAATAGAGAAGTCATTGTTATTGTTTCTTTCTCAATGACAGTTTGGACTTGACAAATATATGGAGTCCAAGATACAGCCAAATCTCCCTCTGTAAAACATGCATATTTTAGTTATTAATTGATTTGGAAAACTTATTTTAAATATGAAGGAAGCAATGATGGTTAGCCTTTCAGTTCTCTTGGATTACAATGTATTATTAGCTCTACCATCTGGATTAAAAATTGCCAACAAAAATATGTATCTCCAGCACCCCTTCTATCGTTTAGTGACCACATTCCATTCCAACAACTTGGTTGTTAAGTGAAACATTTGTTAAGTAACACAAGACCAAAATAGATGCTTCGAGGATCACTGGTTGCTCCATGCTATTCAGATATAAGTTCTCTTGTACAGTGCCCCATGTCTGAACCCCCCCCCTTTTTTTGTCCCTTCACAGAGCAGAGAGATTGCTTAAACTACAGTATCTGAATTCCTGAGCTGCTTTTCTCCAGTGTAATATTTATAAAAAAAATGCTAACTGCAATTTACAAGTCCAGTCCTTAATTAGTTGATTAGAATTTTCTAGCCTTTTCTAGCCTTCCTGCAACTGACCAGCCCATAATTAGTTTCACATGGAGAACTTTTGCTCAGGGACATGAAATTTGGTTGTAAATTGATTTACTGCTGAATTTGGGAAGACTGCTAGGTAAGATAGCCCCTAAATGTGATGCCTCACCACAGGGACTGCAACTGGCTGTAATGGCTGCAACTTTGAAGACCCCTACATTTAGCACCGTTGTAACTGGTCACTGAATGGGTGGTCGCAAAGCAAGGACTACCTGTAATATGAATTGATCTGTATTAATTGACGTTTCCTATAGAACTGCGACCATCGTGTGAACATAGATACTTCTATTCCAACTGAGTGCCTTCTATGTGGTATTCACTACAATATTCAACTTTCTAGCTATTTTGCTGGTTTTGATTTGGAATAAGTAGGAGTTGTGGATATCTGAAGGTTTGCAAATTGATTCAGGGTGTTGTTGAAATAATTCCCTTTCATTTTGGTGCAGTGTAAATATTTGGAAGGGTATAGATAATACATTCTTGGGAGAGAACAACAAACAATCTGATATCAAAGCTTCCAAAATCATAGTTGTGCACAATATGTATGACATTGAAAATTAAACTATCTTTGTCATAAAGATTTCTCAGAATATTGTAGTTAATGTGGTACTGTTACCAAGCCATGTAGGATACGTTTCTGTATAGAGCAAGAGAATCTAAATGTATTTTTGTGTGTCTGTGACAACAGTGTAATAAAAAAATGCAATTGGAGTAAAATTATTGAAATTGTCAAAGAAGAAAAATGTCATTATGCATTTTTAACATTTCCTAAAACAGTTGAACTTTACTATTTGAGACTACCTGGAGTTTTTATTCAATCAAGGAGCATAATTCAACAGTTTTGATCATTTAGCATGCACACAGTTCTGTAGTGCATTTTTTTTACAGTACATTTCTGCTTTTGAACATATTGAATAGGCAATAAGTAAAGGTTAAGTCTGTCATTCTGTTTTATGTTCACGTACTTCCAAGCGTCTTAAGAAACTGGCATTCTCAGCTATGTGAACATGCTCAAGATATTATTTTTGGAGCTTTTCATAAGCTGATACTGAAAAAAAATATTATTTATAAAATATGTTCTATAAATATTCAAAATTTGAGAACAGAGCCTTACCCTTACTAATAGAAGGAAAAATATTACTGTATAAATTTTATACAACTAGTAGTTCTAATATATTTGTGTTAAATTTTCTTTTAAGGCTATTTTTAAAGAGATGGTATAAACTTAAGAAAATATTCAGAATTCAGTTTAAGCAATAGTTTCATTAAGAAGTACTTATGAGTGGCCTTACACTATTTATTCACTTTTCATAATTCTGTTGTCTTTTCTGTACAGTTTCGATATTAAAGGAAACATAAAAATGATCAGATAAAATGCATGGAATGCATCCTGGACTTTAAGAGTGATGACTAATAAAATTAGTGGAGCAACATTGGAATTCCTCAGATCCAAGAAAAAGCACTCATATTCCATTCATTTTGCAATGGTAGGAACCATTTAACATATTTGCACAAAATTATATTGTTTTTTGTATCATTCAGTGTTAAAAACTGTTGTTCTAATGACTGTTTAAACATACTTTTCATCATACAGTAATATTAATAAATCAATAGGATATTTTTGGTAACTTATTTCTGTGCATGTTTTGTTTATTTTATTCCTTTTATTGCTGACATTTTCTATGTCAGTCCACTGCCAATGGAATGGTATTTATGTATCTTAAGGCTACCTATCTTGAAGATATAGAAATATTTCTATCTAGCAGAGTTACACGACCTTCTAGAGTCCATGTTTAAGTTCTATTACCATGCTGCTCCAAACTGTGTTGCTCAGGATATTGTTTGATCTGATTCATCCCGGGAGCTTTATTCTTGTTACAGGGTTCCTTCTTCTCCTGTTAAAACACTTTATCACCTTCTACAATGTTCTTGTGTGTTCTATTCTTACACTGTAAATATAATTGGCAATGCCACCAAGCCCTTTTTAAAAAATATATTCGTTCAGTGTAGACTTTCAGTAGAAATCTACATTTAAAGAATTTTCTGCATCCATCTCTCAGGTATTTAAGCAGTCCTTGTTGTCCTAACTCCTCATAAATTAGAAACAATATGATCCTGGGCATATTGAAGGAAGAATGAAATTTTTCTCACATTTTCAACCTTGACTTTCTTCTTGCCAGTCCTCCTGACAGTATTGACTCTGCTATTCTTCAAGATAAGAGTGTGATTTCTTAAGTTCAGCAAAATACACAATAATAATCTTACGATGTACTTTTTTTGTCTCTGAATCCTAAAACTATTGAATCTATTCTTTGCTTTTCATATCACAGCCTAAACTGGAAAAAAATAAGTTGTATAGGCCAGTTAGAGATATCTGCTCCTCTTGAGTTGATTATATTCTGTTCTGACTTTCTTTAATTTGCCTTGGAGTTCATTTGAATTTGGAATATAGTCTCACTAAATATCACACAGTATTTATTTTTAGTTCTATTCCAAAGAACATATGCACAAAAAAATGGAATGCATACCATAACTACACCGTTTATTCAGAATGACATGCCTTCATTAAAGGACTGAAATCCCTGTACAATCATTTATAACTCAGCTTGCCTTTGAGTTAGCTAAATGGCTAAATTGGATTTACTTTTGTGATCTTTGTTTTTACTAATGTTGGAAGTAATTATATTGTATTTTCTTATTTTAATATACCATTTTTAAAAAATTGTATTTCACCCAAAAGTATTTTTCCATACCAGAAATAACTTAAATAATTGCACAATATTCAAGCCAATTCCAGTATAATTGCTTGTTTAGTGCATTATAGAAACATATGAACCAATCTGAAAGCTACAGATTTTACATGTCACTTTACATAAATAAAACAGTTAATTATTTTTTGCTAATTATTTGTTGAATCTTATCTGTTTAAAAAAATCTGAGTACAATTATTTAATGGAAATATAAATTTGTACTAATATTGCAATCTTAAACATTTTAATTAAAAAGATGTGGTTTTAATGTGACTAAGTTATTCCGTAAATTTTTCCTTGAAGCCTTAAATCTGACCAGACGATATAGAGCAGGGGTGTCAAAGTCAAGGTCCATGATCCGGCTGTGCCCCACAGGGTGCCTAAATCTGGCCCATGGGGATGGCCTGGAAATAGCAAAGGATTGGCAGTACCTCTGATGCGCAGCCCTCTGTGCCCTGTTTTCAGTCTTGACAGCCTCCTGTAGCACTCTGCTGGCGAAAACGGGATGTCGGGGGATGGGCATGCGCAGAGCATTGGGATGACTGATGAATATATATATCAATTATATATTAACCATTGAAGGAAAAAAAAAACCACAGCATCACTTGTCTTGAGAATATTTTGCTACAGCAAGGAACCCCAACCTATGAGTTGTGGCCCACTAGTGGGCCGTGAGGGGATTGCAACCGGGCCTCACTTGTGCAAGCAGCGGCCAAGCACTTGCATGCGCTCTCCTTTTGGGAGAGCAGCAGGCAAGTGTGCATGCCGCGCATGCCAATGGAAGCTGCATACACACAGGCCTGCCTATCGCTTATGCAAAGCTATCCCCTCTCCCCCCACTGCCAGTCCGCAAAGCTGGAAACGTTGGGGAACTCTGTGCTTCAAGTTTCCATAGCTAGATTATTTATGCAGCTGGTAATAAATACAGATTTTCCAGAATTGAAACAAATTTATAACTTCATGGCATAGATCTTGTTGCTCGTGAATAACTTAGAGGACACTTAACACATTTTATTTTATAACAATTTAATTTAATGGACAATTAAGTGGTAATATTAAATTTACATTTTTAATAATTTCAGTACATGAAAACTAAGACTAGTTCAAACAGTCCTTTTCCTCATTTAATTATGTTGTTTTAGTTAATTTTTCTGTAATGTACTCCTATTACATTACACTAATTAGATCTGATACTTAATACTTAATCGTGTAGTTCTGTCTTAACAACATAACATTGTTGATATTGTATCTTTCCTCTAACAATCTTGATTGAATTTGTAATAGAAATAATGAAATAGTTGTTTATTTCTTGAAATAGTTCTTGAATTCAGTTTTTCAGCTATTAATTCTGGCTTTAGTCCACTTTTGGGAGATAAAGATTCAGATCTATTGCCGCCATCCCCTGTTTCCCCTGGTCCCCTAAGAGCTGGAAGAAGGAGCTTAAAGTTCTCCTGAAAGCTGCAAACATCAAGTCCAGCACCACAATTGCTCATTCAGAAGTGGTAGACATATAACCTTGAACAATACAGGCAAGAAGTAGGATGAGAGTTTTCTGGAAAGGGGGGGTGTCCTATGGCTTAGGAGTGGGCCAAATGGTCAGGCCAATAAGAAGTAACAACATACCTCTAGCAACCAAAACCACTAAATGCTGCAAATGCTACCATCTCATCAACTGGTACTACAAATAGGAATTGAGTGAAATGATAGATTCAGACATAGGGATGAAAACTTGTGCATGGGCAACTTTTAAGTAATACTCAAATAGCAGACCTAGGCATCTTACAGCCTATGGGCTGCATCTGGCTCACATGCAGTCCCAGTTCGACCAGCGGCATTAGCTGGGGTGAGGGTGGAGAGGTGGGGGGGCAGCAGTTCAGCTTGACTTTGGGGGCAGGGCAGCAGCAGTGGGGGCAGGGCGGCAATGGCCCTCCACAATGGTCCCAGTTTTTTATCTGTCCCCCTGGGCAAATTAATTGCCCACTCCTCCCCTATAGGATAATGTAGGGGAGAGAACTTTACAGCAGAGAGTGCAATCCTCTCTAAGAGGTCAAAGGGAAATGGAGAAGGAAATAGGAAATAACAGCTCCTCCATGAGCAGGATGGAAATGTGTTTACTAAAACACCTCTTATCTGAAAAATTGGATAACAGAGTAGAGCCTGATTTGCAGACATAGAAGACCCCTCCCTACTCCTGTGATGTTAAAGAAATAGACTGTTAGTTCTCGCTCCAACTCATTTTGAAGCCTCAACCTTGACCTCTACCCCCACACCCACTCAATAATGGGAAAGAAAACAAAGCCATAAGATAACAGACAAAAGAAAAACCGAATTCCAGCCACAATAGAGCCTATAAGCTTCTATAGCATTAAAATAATTTCTGTATCTAGTTTTTTTTTTAAATGTGACCAGATGGACCTCTCTAAGAACCCCATTGGGCTCACTTCCATCAGATATGCTTGAGACAAACAGAAAAAACGGCAGCTGGATTGCTGAGAAATTAAGGAGGAAATCCAGGAATAACTGAACCAAGTACATTTGTTTCAGGCAACAATGACCTTAATAAAAATTGAAAGAAACATTTCTCTCCTTAGCTTCTGATTTATGGTTGCAATTTACAAAGAATAATTAAGAAAATCAAGGAGGAAATGTTTGCTGAAGAGCGTCTTTATTTCTCAAGATACAGATAACATTTTTTCAAAGATTGTAGGATAAGATCTTTATAACCAACACACACACTAAATAAATTAATCTGATGATTGTATCTGAAATGTTTTGTGTGCTCAATTATTCTCAGAGCTTTGGGGGCAAGGAAGTGGCATTATTTATTTTATCTTCATACAAGCTACAGGAATCCTATCTTTTTCATACACTGATTAAGGAGTAGCACACCTAGGTAAAGGTATCCACCAGAAAGATAGATGTTGGTAACAGTAATTATGAAATAGGTATATCAATGTAGGCAGGGAAATGGGCCAAGGTGTGTAAAACCTAGAGGAAATTGTTGAGATCCTCCAACTTCTATGGAATCAGCATTGCTACTATAGTTCCGTAACCAAATTTGTGAGTCTTGCATATCCTTTAGTTGCCTGGTTAAATTAAACATAATTAAAAGCACTTTGGAAGCTCCACAAGAATCAAAACACAGTCCACAAAATCATCTTTAGGAAGTCTTTTAAAGGGCATTAGAGGGTGATTGCACTTTGAGCATACTACTGTGCCTTAGTGATGTTAAACTTGCAAAACGCTCTTGAAAAGGAAAATTCATTAATTTTTTTAAACATTTCTTCAGCAGCAGTGTCAATAAACAGGATGCATAGTGTGCGTCATGCTTTAAAAAAGCATTGGGCTATAGACATTATTATTGGCATGGCATATCCCAATCTTCACTACTTGACTGATATTGAGATTATTTTGATAAATTATATATATGGGAATTCCTTTTAAATATCTATTTCCATTATTTATATATTTACTGTTTAAGTTTTCCGCATCAAATAGGAACAAATGCATGCTTGCTTGCATCCTTATAATTTTAAAAAACGGGGAGAGAAGAAAGTGAAAAGTAAAGTACTAAGCTCAAGAAACAGTTTAATAACAAAATGTTCTTATTTATCTTGCAATAACTGTGGAATTACCTCTAAAAATTGTGTGATTTGCCTTTTTATTTAAATTCCGTTGACAACTTCATTTTTTTTCTATAATATTTCTGAGTAGCTATATAGTTTCAATATTCTACA